CTCTCTCTCTCTCTCTCTCTCTCTCTCTCTCTCTCTCTCTCTCTCTCTCTCTTTCCCTCGGAAAAACGCTCAGTCGAAAACGATCGATGGAGCAGGTGCTCGAGCGCGCCTCGACGCCTCGTTCTCGCGCGCGAAAGGCCCTTTGTGTCTCTTCCAGCGTGATACTTATATCGACGTACTTTTCAGACGAATCCCTTTAGTGTTCGGCGCGCGGCCCTGCGGAGCCGCGCCTCCAGGCGCATCCGGGTTATGGCGCAACCAAAATTCGTGACCAAGAAATACGACCCCGCGTAAGTGCACAGTCGTCCGCCTCACCTACTCGTCAGGTTATCGCGCGCGCGCGAGTCTCTCTACAAAATTTATTGTCGCGAACAGAACGGTGCCGCCTCCTTACCCGCGTATTCACCCGAAGACGCTCGCGGCTAAGAGCAGCAGACGCATCGTCGATCTGGCGTTGCCCCGGAAAAGGTGCATCCGTTTTCCCGATGTCGAAGACAGGAGCTCTATTCTGGCCGCGTATCGAACGCCGAGTGTGCCCCTCTGACTCTCGAGCAACGTTTTACACGCGACACTCGTGCAAAATTTCGCCGGAAAAGCAACGAGTGACCGCCGGCGCGGGTCACTTGAATTTGAATGATTTTTCACTCATACAGAGAGAGAAAGGGAGAGAGAGAAAAATCGCGCATTCTCCACTCCGCGATTCGTCAAGTGAATATTTCCACTCGAAATTGAAGAGTTAATCTGCACCACGAAAACAATACTCGACAATTTCTTTGTGGGGTACGAAGTTTATTCGTACAGAGGAATAAACTTTATCTTGCAAAAATAAACTTTGCATTCCACAAATAAATTTTCAAGTACTTCTTTCTCCGGATAATGTGCTGCGTCGTCGCGGGAACGTATTCACCTTAATCGATTGAAACATTCGCTCACGGAATCCATTTTAAGCTTGAGTGGAACATTCATCATTGTGATTTTAAATGACAGTATTTTCACTTTGAGTAAAAATACAGCCGTTTTTCACACGTCTAAAACAGAAATTTCACTCCAAAAAATTTAGAGAATAACTTAAAATTAAAAGGGCCTTCATAGGTAGACAGTTTACATACGTAAATTTACATACGTAAATTTGGCAACAAGTTAACTAGTCGTTTTATGAAAGTTATATTCCTTACATGCAATTAATATATTAATATTACATTTATTTTATTACAAATAACTAAATAGAAACACGAAAGAAGTATGGAAAATATTATCAAAATTTTCGCAAAACAACATTTCATATAAAGAAAATAATTTGGTTACATTAACATGAATAAATGCACTCTCTTTCTCTGATTTTAATTAGCGAACCAGCGCGTTTTACTCAAAGGGCTCGGAATTTCTGTAGTTCTTGTAACTCAAACTTGATTTCAAAATCCAGCAAACCCGTTTCTTTGAACCAAAACACGTTGATTCGTTTGTTACAACAAAACTTTTTCTCCATGTATGCAAAATATAATTTTAAAATCTGAATGTTATTTTTATAAAAATTTAATGATTTATTAAAGTGCAGTATAATACTTGCTTCCTAAATGTACATTGAGTAAAAATGCTTGAAAATTCATTTGTGGGACATAAAGTTGATTTGTGTGTGAAATAAAGGTTATTTCTGCAAATAAATTTTACATCCCACAGATAAATGTTCAAGTATTCTCTTCTCAGTACAATTAAAGAAAGTGTGAAAATTCTATCATCGATTGTCTTACGTCGTAGTCATGAAAAAATCGATTTGGGCACATTTAACGTTCGCTATGCGTCCATAATAGACTCCAAATCCGCCGAGGGAGCGAGTCTCGGATAATGAAAGTAATTGTATTCGTAGCCAATTTACGTTAGATTTGGAATCACTGAGAAGTATAAATCGGTCCCTGCAAAGTCGCAGGGACAGCTGTCTTATTGACTAGTTATCTCCGATTCTCGCGACGAGAGATATCGCAGATTGCGCTCAATATTACGACACAATCGAAGTGAAACACGATATTGTTTACAATCCCACATCTATTTTGGAATTGAGATGCGATAGCCGAAACTCGGTCGGCGATAGATAGATGTAACGGTGCAACTTACAGGCACCTTAAATGTTAGGAATCTGCTGGGAGCGATGCAATTGGCCCGTACGAGAAGCATGAAGGCAACCTTGAGTGATCTGCTGGTGAAGGTTCGAAAGTCACGATACCGGCGGTATCGCGTATTCTGCAACGCGCGTCAAGAACGAGAAGCCAAGAAAAAGTAAACCCGATACCTCTCTCCCGCTATCATGTCACTTTTTCCCTGCGAACGACACGCGCATCCCAGACGTACGATTTTTCCACGGATTTGACGCAAGTGACTCGTCCTCGGCGAACAGTAAAAATACGGAAAATCGAGCGACTGCATTAATCCACATGCCGAAAGTCACGTACACACAGAAAAATATTCTTCTGTAGAAAAGCGACCGCTCAGTTTACCAACCTTCTTTTAACTCTTTTGCTGCCAATCTTGGTCTCTCTAAAGGTACAATTTAAATATAAAAATGTAATGCAATTTTAGGAGGGAAATTAAAAGTTTTGTGTTTGATGAAAGGAATATTGATGTTCCACTGGGATTTTTGGGAAAGCATGTTTGTCCTAATAATAATAAAGTGATAGCTAATGTGTGAGATTCTGAATATCAAAAGAGCTGTTTATTTAATTAAATAAAATTATTATTGATGGTAGGAAGAATGTATGTTCCGGAACATACATGTTGATAGCAAAAAAGTTCACAAAAAGTACGGAGAGAATATTGTAGTAAAAATTGCTTTATATACGTAGTAAGACTTATCATGTTTATTGTCATAGTTACCTTTAATAAATAGAATATTTTCTTGATAACAATCTTAGAATATACTTAATACAAATTGTAGAAAGCTCGTTATCATGTAATCGTAGCTCGTTATCATATAAAAGAAAGATTTACTCTCTTTTATTATAAAACATTATAAAACTTTTATTATAAAACTTTCAAAGAAAAAGTTGCTTCGACTCTATGCACTCTAAACAAACCGTATTTTTGTTTTAATTTCATATTCTTGATTGAAACGCTAAACTAGGATCCAGAATGCATCTCTTGTAAATTTAGTGGCTGTGACAAACTTGCGATAGATTCGTAGATACCTAAACTAACCAAATACTTGAAGCAAGTATCATTTACATGAATGCAATGAATATTTTTCTGTGTGTGGAATTGAAAAACGGTCATTTTACGTTTAAATTCTACTCCCTTCCCTCCCTTTTCCTCTCTTCCTCGCTCTCCATTTTATTCAGTTTGGTCAATCATAAATCCATACGGAGATGTTAGTGTCGGGCATTTAGGTATGCATTTAAATTCACTAATTATTCGATAAAACCGCAGTTAGCTCGATTTCGCAAAGCCGCGGCTACATTAACGGGAAAGTAATAAAACGTAAGCTTAAACCCCCGCCGCCGTATCGATTTCGCCGGAGGGGAATGGAGGTGCATCAAATTCTGCCTTTAATTAACGAAGGGTCATCTGATACCCGTTCGGCAAGTAATTATTAATAGCGTTCAATGAATTTCGCTATTGCGTTTGCGCGGGCCAGTCGGCGGTCGTGCGATTACCGATTCGGAGGAGCATTATTTTAACAACGTTCCACAATGCATATCGCGATCAGTACCCGCGGACGAGCCACCGTAGCTTTCCAGCCACCTCGGCCGAGGCCGCGCTGGCTTGCCCGCTGGCAAGATTTGTCGCTCGCGAACGGAATCCCCCGCGCCTTAAAAATCGTCGCCCCCGATCCAGGAGAAGACTAATGGCCAAGTTGCGCAAGGCGCTCACGAAACCGGAAGACTGGCAGAGGCACATGCGGGCGTTGGAGAGACTGGCCGCGCCGAAAGTGAGGCCCAAAAAGAAGCCAGTAAGAAATCGCCATTCTCCCGTTTTCTCTCCTCGGCTTTTATCAGTATTAATCGATTCGGAAAGCGCCCGTCCGGCCCGATTCGGCCGCGACGATAATCGATAACGCGGAAAGCGCCGGTAACGCCTTGCGGTCCCGGTTTCTCCGGGGTACCTCCGGCTGTGGGGCTTGACGCCGCGGATATTCGCGCGTCACGACGATTCGGGACGGACGGTTTTCTCAGCGATAATGACCCAAGTAGAATCGCAATGACATCGAAAATTATCGAGTCGTGATCGGAAAGTCTTTTTTAGTCGTTTTCTCATCATTTTGACGTCATCGTAACTTTTTATTCCGCCTGGGTAAGCCGTCCGGGAATGCGCGTGGAAAATTAAAAGTACCAGATGAACGAATGAATAACTCATTACTCAATTTGAAGTTAGTCGATCAAAAGGTGAATTCGGGTTTTTCATACGTTGTAACATCCACATATATAACAAAAATCTAAAAAATAAGAAATCTTTATTCGATGGATATTATAATAATATTTACTTAAATCTAAATTCCTTGAAATACTTTTAAGTAAGAGTTTATAAATTTTATTTGATTTTATTAGATTTTTTACTTACATTTAACTTTTACTCTCAAGAATTTCTTTTTAAATTCCCGCTTTTACTTAAACATTTACTCTCATGAGCAACTGCAGTTTTAAGAAAACTTTAAGAAAATGTATATTCGTTTATTTGAAAAGTATTTTACATTAATATAAGTAATTATATTATATATATTAGTACTCACCCAATAAATATTTTGCATTCTTTAGATATGTTTTCTCTCAATGCAGTTGATATCGAATAGACTTTCATGATTGTTACAACGTGATTCTTCGCATATATTGTTAGACCAGAAAATTGTGAAAACATAAAAGAGCAATCGTTTTATCGGAACTGAAAAATGCGAAATTACTTAATAATAATAATAATTGAATTAATTATTAAATGTATGTCGGTGCCAAAAATGTGTAATAAGTAATCTCGCATTTTTCAGTTCCGATAAAACGATTGCTCTTTTATGTTTTTACAATTTTCTGAAACAATATATCCGGAGAATCACGGGAGATCAAAATGTTTCATTATAAAATTAGTACAATTTAAAAATATAATCGTTTCGTTTTATTTGGATAGAAAATTTTAAATTATTTGTTACCCAATTCAATAAATTGTTCGTTTTATCGATACAGCAACAATTCACTAATAATTGCACTCAGACTTTCATATTACATTTTGCAGGACATATTGCATAGCATATTCTATGTGATATATTGTTTCGAGTAAATTGATATATTTTTTAAATTTTTTTATGTCGTCATTCTTTCTGTAATAAAAGATATATTGTGGCATACAAACCAATCAATACATACCAACACATACATCCTTTATAAATCGACTAGTAAAATTGCTGCCAAATTTACGTACTTATCTGGATCTATCTAGATAGATAACTGCTAATTTGATAGAACTACCTAGATAGTCGGTAGTGTCCAAACACCGCGTGACTCGATCCTACCCAAAAGCGCCCGAACCGGAAGTCAAAGGTTTATTGACGCTTCAACTCTCTCTCTCTCTCTCTCTCTCTCTCTCTCTCTCTCTCTCTCTCTCTC